GTGCCTGATAAGCAATTGTTAAGTAGAATAACGGATAGGAATATTATTCTATTATTCACACATTGTTGATATTTTTATGTTGATAATTTAGCCATTATTCTGAATTTTATTGTGAAATTTTATTGTTTATGTCCTCGTTGCAATAATAAACATATTGAATTTGACTAGAAAATTAAACATGTGCGGAACCATATGTCACATGAATAAATAAATGATTTACATCTATAGCAACTGCTGTTCTTTCAATTTATTCAAAAGAATAATTGCCAATAGGAGTGAAAATTGAATGAAAAATAAAATGGCGATAAGAGAAACCTTTTGGATATTGTTAAGTTCAATAAACTATTTTCAATAATTTTAAATTATCTTATTGCATGTCAAGATTTAATTTAGGATACTATTTCATGCTAGTGTTTCAGCTCAGATTCTCAAGCTGATGAGCCAATCCTTTTAGTTAAGGGAACCATTTAGAATTGCAATTTTAGATGAAATATTATTATAAGATTCTTTCTAAACATTCCTTTTCTAGGACGCCATTTCATGCAGATGTGTTCAGATCCTATAGTTGGTCAGCCAATGTCTGTGGCCGCAAGAAATGGCTTATATTTCCCCCAGGGGATGAACAGTATCTAACAGACAAGTTCCGTCAATTAGCGTATGATGTCTCTTCAATAAAGCAATTGGACAGTAAGAAGTATCCAGATCTGCATAAGCTGATTGGTCCTATAGAAGTTATACAGGAGGCAGGGGAGGTGATATTTGTGCCTAGTGGATGGCATCATCAGGTACACAACATGGTAAGTTAATGCAAATTGGTCCCCAACGTTTTTGTCATTTGATGGTAGGCATCTGTAACAAATGGCAGGTAGTGACATTTTGTATGTTTTAATTTTACTATATTAGAAAATAAACAGCTATTTTTTGTTCAAGGTTTTGATATTTTAAATCAGTATTAACCAGTGACTCGTATAAGCAAAAAATACTTAGGCTCCCAGAAAACGTTTGACATTTTCACCATTATCATGTTACATACTTCATCTATAGATTTATTTCTTGAAATTTCCATCCAGACAATTTGTAAACTTACCACTTATGTCGCAAAACATTGCTAATTAAGTCGTAAAGCATATGTAATCTATGTAAATATATTTAGTACTATATCTAGTTCATGGTGACCCCAAAAATGCCACCCACTGTTCAATGGAAGAAAGATTGGTATGCTTGCAAAGCATCAAAAATGTAAATTAGAAAATCTGTCTTTTCTAAAATTAATCAATAAACGAGTCAGTCTATTAAATTTGACAAAATTATTTAAGAAAAATGAATAGATATGACATATTAATGGTAATATATGTGAAAGGAATTCAAAAATGACTCAAATAATGGCTAAGACAGAAATCCCAATTTTAGAAAATTGTATTCTTGAACGTTTTTGAAGCATCCCTGGACAGAAAACTTGGTATCTCTAAATCTTAAAGTTGTTGATGCTATACAAGTACACCAACCGTTCTTCCATTGAACACTCTATCTTCACCTTCACAAAAAATCATGAAGATTCCTTCATTATTGAGAAATTTATTCCAAATATAGGGGGTGAAATATTTTTTGGGTCACCCATATGGAAATTTTAATCAAAATTACTTTATTCCATACCAGGAAGACACAATATCCATCAATCATAATTGGCTGAATGGCTGTAATATTATGTTGGGCTGGCGATATATCAAGACTTGTCTGGTTGGTGTACAACGTGAGATCAGCGATTGTTGGGACATGGATGGATGGAACAAACATTGTCAGGTAATATATGATAGAGGTCTCAGATTGTCAGAGCCTCTAAGATACATCTGTAATCCTGCACTTTCACAAAATGTTGACTAGGCATTAACATGCAAAATGCCACCACCTACCATTTGTTACAGATACTGATGGCCAAACACTGTTAAGGACACTGAACACCAACTGCCGTACACAACCCACTGAACACCAGCCACAAAAAATTGGAGACTTAAAAATAACCTAGAAACAAAACATTGAAAATTGTCATTTCAACATTTCATTGAAATATTTTTTATTCTACCATAATATACAAATATATGTATTTACATTAAAATGTTAAAAAAATTGGTAATTATAATCATGAATTTTTAGCAGATTCTTAAAATGTGTTGTCAATGATAATTCCTGATTTTCAGTTGTCTCCAGAATTTATTTTTAACCTTTAGTTTTGTTAATAGATTCAACAGAAGCTCCAACTATGTAGCCTACTAGGTCTTGAGCAAACACTGTCAAGTTTATTATAATTCGAGGACATTTCTTTTTTGCAGTTGATACTGAAGGCGACAACTGGAATTGACTTTATTGAGTTTTATAAATTCATCAATATTGTTGCCAACCGAAGGATGACATTCTTGAATGATATGGAAAATGGAGAAACAAAATGCTTATATAGCCAACAAGATAAACAAAGTGTTCCTTCTACCAATCATAAACATATGTGCAATAATTCTAATGCCACAACCACTGGAACTTGTAATACTGACTCTTATGGTCCTGGGACAATTACCACTGAGGAAATACAATCCACAATGAAAAGTGAAATGGAAAAACTTGAAATAAAAGAGACAAATATTAAATATGATGAAGCTAGTCAAAACAAGGATATTGAGAGACCCACCATTGAGTTGTATTTGAATAATATACATTGGACGCCATGCAGTTATTGTGGCAAAGACTTCAATCCAGAATCCCCATGCCATTTAATCCATGATCTGCTTAAAGTAGAGGAAATTTTAGCTGATATGATAGAACATGAAGAATTCACTCAGTTAGATCTTGATGTACTAGACCCCCATCCAAATGAATTCACAAAACATCTACGATTTTTCCTCAGTAGTAAAGTACATGCATGTGACACATAATCTAGAGTTTTATTCTTTACATTGAAAGTATGTATCAAGTATGTGCTGTTGTCTGAAATAAACTAAAAAAATTAACATAATATGTTCTTGATATCTTATTCAAACATGACCATGCTCTAATAGAATTTCTCCAACCAATCAGAATGCAGCATAGTACAGCTTTGTACATGCTCTAATCAATCATCCAGGTATCTACATATTGTGACGTCACACCTACGAATGGCGAAAATAACAGCAAGTTTGGTTATTTTATGGACCCTAATTCTCTGACCAATGTTTTCATTTTTATGTTTGAATCGGAATAAATAATGATAGGCCATTCAATATGGTGAAATTCTACACTCGTTGGACAGAATGTCAGGACAAATACACTCAGCTTTGGTTCATTCTTTTAATGACATTCTGTCCAACCTGTACTAAATTTCACCATATTGAATGGCCTATCATCAGGGCCGTAGGGAGAGGAGGTTTAGAGAGTGTGAACGCCCCCCCCAAAAAAAATCTTGCCTAAAAAAACTCGAACCCACCCTATCTGGCAATTATACGAAACCGCCAAGATTTGAGTTAATTTTTTGATTACCTAAGATATTTGAGGTACATGTAAAGATGGAAATATGTGAGATTTAAAACTTTATCTTGAGTAAAAAAGACTACGAGTTTAGAATTAGATTTGGGAGGGGGTTCTATGTCTAATATCTTCAGTAAGTTTGTGGTCTGTTATGGCCTTGAGCTATTTATTTTTCTGACCAAATTCCAGAAAGTGGTTACGGTCAGACTGTACTTTCTGTACAATTTTGATGACCAAGTGCTTTTTTCAGATGAACATAACTCATTCCAAACCTGGTCTAAATCTTTCATTCATTTTTGCACAAAAGGTGCTTAAGTGTATCCAGATTAATAATTGAGTGTTAATTTTTCTTTACAATGTAAGAATAACTAGAAAATTAAGTGGTCTTCTTTTCAAAATTGCAAAAAAATCCATCATGCAGATCTATTTTTAAACATAAAACTTGGATTTAAATAGGCCTCTGTTGAAAAAACGTTCTACATTTTTGAAAATATGCCTTTAAATGTTCTAAATGAGCGAAATTGGTCAAAAGTCGGAATATTTCACCTATGTTTTTGCTTTTGCAATTGTTTGGCATGGTTAAACTTATGATAATTTGGACTTTGTGGTAAACGTTTATATATTTTAGCGAAAAAAATATAAAATTAATAATATAGAACCAAAATTTAACCTTTGGAAGAGATTAAGCAAACTTGGAAAAGTTTTCACCAAATTCACCGTTAGGAGGCTCCAATTTTTTTTTCGGAAAATATTTGAACCCCCTCCTGTCAAATCCTGGCTACGCCACTGTATCATTATTTATTCCTTAAATCACTACAGCTGCTATCTCTACAGAAAACCCTTGTCTCGACCTGCATTGTCAAATATAAAAGAAACTCATCTGATATCACCACCTGAGTCACTTGTATATTCCAGTTTGGTTGAAATTAGGGCTCTGTCAGTCTCAAATTTGACCCCCTCAGTTTGGTTTTCATTAGGTTTTTCGGTTCTTATCACACTACAGTGTATATACCTATTCTGCCATGATATAGAATATAAAACAAAATCATTCTGTATGACAACCGTGTATTTCATCACATATACAGGACATGTACAGCTGTTAAGAAAACATTAATTCTGACTGGATTTCCATTTGTGACTATTGACAGATTGAACTGTGGCTTTGTGCTAAATGTCATTATTGTGCTTGGTGAACATCATTCTGAATAAATCTAACAATTTCCTAAACATTTTGATCATTTAAAAGAAAGAAATATAAACTGAATAACACTTGAGAGCTTTTCAAGATTAGAAAGATTGGTACCTGCCCCACCCATCCTTACCCCTGCGTTGCTGTAGTAACCATTTCAAGGCTTAACATAACGTATGATGCTGAAACTTTGGGATGGAAAACACGATGGATAACACTCAATTGCAATATACACAAAATTTTAGCTGAATTGAAGAATATTCAAAAAAGGTTAGTGAATTACTTCTGGGACAACCCTCGTAAACTTAAATAATTTTGCCATTTTAATGTTAATCAATTATAATTCCTTGTGTATCCTAAGTTTTGCCTTGTATATTACTATATCTTTGTCTTTGTCATAATGCACCTTTGCTAAGCTGAATGTCTTTCCAAGCATTTTATAAAAATCTTTATCTCTTTTGTATCTGATTTTAGAAGCGAGAATAACTTCAGTTTCTGGTTGAGCTAGATGTGAAATAGTCCTCAGTAAGTCTTCAAATGTTTCTTCAATGTAAACAATGTCTGCTCCAATCACTAAGTCATAATGATCAGTGAAGTTTTCCAAATCATGGGACCAATCTAATGCTTTCACTTGAATTGTTTTTAAACTGACTTGATTGTGCACATTTTCCTGGATGTTTTGACGCAGGTCATCTAGGACAATTTCTCTGTCTGTAATGTCTATCCTCCCCACACCTGAAATATACATACAGGGTATATATTAGAACATAAGTCGGTAATCAGTAATCACCACAAAACTTTTGGGTTCCATTTTTTGCATTGAGTACCTCTCTTATCTAACCACCTCTCAATATAAACACTTAGCTGGAGCCTTGTAGTTTCACTTCCACTCAGAGGTCTTCAGTTTAGATATGGTTAACTGTATATGTTAGTCACATCCTTATTCCTTACCTAAGAGTCCTGCCACCATACCAGCCAGCCCCATCCCAGCACCTAACTCTATCACTGTCTTATCTTCCAGCATGTTGCGATGTTTCTCCAGATACTCACACAATACTACAGCCTGCAACAACATAACAATTGAGTTCTTGATTTAAGAGTTTCAATTTCAATTCAATTTATTAAATATATATACATACAACAATACAAAGATGATGAAGGGAGCGAGACACCACTGAAAGGTGTATGGTGCCCCCTATAACAATAAAAGATTCATATGATTTAGCAATTGAAGATGACAAATATTATGAATGGAAAACATCCTGGGAACTGTATTAATTTTGTATTTCCTATTGTCAACAGTGGTTAATAAGCCCAAGGTGGGCTGGGTAAAATTGTAATTAATTTTCTATATTTTATAATTGAATTGTAAGACTGACCACTCTGCCACTATAAATAAATAAATAAACTAAACTAAAATTAACTAAAGATTTAACTTTTATTTTTGATTTGATATTTCCTTGATTTGACAAATAAGATAAATTAATTTTACACTCTCTTAATTTTGTACAATTTCACATTTTTCAAATCAGTTTTTCTTTTTCTAGGAATGAATTCAAATTCCCAAAGCTCCTATCATTTCAAGCAATATATTGGGCACATTTTCTGAAAAATTAAATAGATTATGTTTAGTACCTTTCCAAAAGCCTAACTTTTACCTATTTTCAGTCACATTTTCAGAGGGCTGAAAAAGCTAGTACATTATAGGGCAAAGGGATGTAACGTTGATGTGTGGGGTAATGTCAACACAAGAAATGGGTAATTTCGACACTTTCCTCCATGTTTGATTTCTAGAAAAATTAAAATCTTGCGAGATCTCCATCCACGCAAGAAAAAAACATGGCTACTCCCTAGATCGGAAATGAGAGCAAAGAAACAATAAGGTGTCGAAGATATCCCACATGTCGAAATTACCCAAAAATGGTGTCGATGTTACACCCCTTTGCCCTATTTAATGATATATCATGGGAGTAGTATACATAGATACTAGTATTCCGTAATTCGGCGGCGTGGACGGAATTTGACAAAACTTCAATTTTTTGCAGAATCCCTGATTTTCATGAAAATCCCGCGGAATTACCAGAATTTCCAGAAATTACATATTTTACGATCTCCTACCTTTGCGGGGTATTTGAAGAGTGTCTGTCTATGTCCAACAATCAATCATTATTGAGTACAAGTACGATTTCACCGTGAAATTCAACATTTTATCACGTTTAAATTCGCTAATGCGAGTTCGCTAATGACGCGCAGTTCTTACCTAGAAAGTAGGTGACTTCCGTTTCCGCTTTCGATGGATAGGATAGATTGCAGAATTTGGATTTTCTCCTTGCAGAATTTGCTTTTTTTCTTGCAGAATGTTTTGCAGAATTTTGATTTTTTTCATGCAGAAAACTAGTATCTGTGAGTATAGCTGACTGAAGGTCAAAGCAGAACTCTGTTATTTTAGTTCAAAAATTAGCATGTTTTTTCTGATAACTACCCCCCCTTTTCCTGGGGACTTCTAAAAAGTCGGCCAAGACATAAAATTGGCGAATTTTGGGATTTCACCAAATTTATCAGTCGGCAAATTAAGTTGGGTAAGTTTATGACTTATTTAGGCAAAGGCTATTTATGTCTGTTGCCTAACGGTAGAGTTGTACTTACTGCATCCCACACCACAGCAGCCACACCAAGTTGTCCCCACTTCTGTTTGATTACGATGTTTTGTCCTGCTAGATAAAACTGTCTCTTATCAAAGTGAAATGGTGACAGTATTTCACTGTTGTATGGTACTACAGCAAGTGATTCCATTTTCTTGTCCAAATCAATTTGTTTTTGATCTAAATTTTTGGCGTTGGGAGGAGTATTCAGTGCTTTCTGAACATGAAGTACATTATCCAAAGTCAGTGATGCAACCAGTGGAAACAATAACGACTGGTATATTTTGTAGATCATCCCGCTTTGTGTTTTTAAACGTGTAAACGTGGGAAAATCTCACATGTTGCAAATATTTTTTTGTTTTCTAAACGAGAACTGCTAAATTTTATAAACCAAAATCGCATTAGCGAACGAAGTCTCGAATAATATCGCGTGATTGGATATGTTATTGCGTTGCTTGACAACGATCAGAAAATATAAACATTGGAAGTATTTACTCTCACTTTGCTGATATTTATCAGTACTAAGCAGCAAGTGGAAAGAATCACACGTGAATATATGAGAATAAATAGTAAAGCAATTAATTAACTAATAAGAAGCCTTCAGTACAGATTGAACACTGAGGTATTACATTGACAACACAACAGAACAAGGTTGTCACCCAAGAATCAGAAGAATGGCAGTTCACAAGAAAGAAAGCGAAAATGGATGGTTTTATCATGCCCCAGCAAAGAGACAATCGAATGAGCAAGTCTTTGCACCACCAGCATCACAGATTCCAGGACTAAGTGATCTCGTTGGTGAACCAGAAGAGCCAAAGGGAAACTGGATCAAGGAAACTGATACCAAATACATCAGAATGTGTAAAGCAGGAGGGAGGCCAGATTTATTACAAATGAGATCTCAAAAGCCAAAACCCAAAGAACCACAGGGATACCCAAGAGTAGATTGGTTCTACTTGGAAGATAACAGAGCAGAAGATGACGCTATTCGAGCGAATGAGTAAGTATTGAATTTATTAAGCTTATCGTCCTTATTTAAATCTGAGCACGATCATTTGACTCTGTGAATCACTTGTATCTACTGTAGCCTAACAACCAATGCATATGATCCATGGACTGAAAGACCGATTGTGTCTTGAACATATAGACAAGTGTTAAGTTTGTAATTGTTTCCTTTTTCAGAAGATGGGAGTTTAGCCTACCTGAATACATGGTGCACGACCATTACCAACCTGATGGTCCTGAAACGGACGGTACACTACCTTACAGACCAAAACGCCTACCATATGCTCGGGACACTAAATCTATTTATGAATCTGAGACAGTTGATCCAACAAAGAAGGACGTCAAAATTCCTGAACTGAAAAAACAGGGTTATGGTGTCAGAACCGAGAAACTTGACAGACGCCCACAGCGGATGGCAAAACAACAGCCAAAAGAAAAACCTAGGGTCCCCAAGGACCAACTTGAATTGGAAAAGAACAGACCTAGATATGAAGCTATGTAAGTACCAATCAACTTCTAAATAAAAAGATTAAGCAATTAATTATATTACAACTGTAATAAGAATTGATCCAGTTCAATTATTACGGTATTCTTATAAAAAATAAGTACCATACCATACCATAAGTAAAGTTCTTATTTTCTTATTTACAATTTAACATTTATCTTGTTTGCTATTTGTGCACGAACCTGTACTTTATTAATTGTGTTTATATTATTCCAGGCCACTACCTAACATAACAGAACGACCGAGCATGCAGAAAATATTAGCCTACAGTTATCAAAGAGACTGGAAAAGCAATGTAGACACATATCAAGCTGAACAACAGAAACTTAAAGAACAATTTGAGAAAATGGGTTTTAGAGAAGAAAGAAAAAACACTGAATATAGTGAACAAATCAGCAAATCTGCTGGTAAATCCAAACAAAATACAATGGCACCAAAACAAACAAGAAAAAGCAGTGCAGCTCAAGAGAAGAAAATGCAAGAATTAGAAGCTCAGAAAATACAAAAAGACTTGTTTAAACTGAATAGATTTAAAAATGTCCAGGGAAGAACTGATACTCACAGGACTAGCGAGGTTGCAAGTCATGCGTGAACAGATGGAACATATTGTTAATTTACATGTCGTATCTAACAGCTAAAGAGGGGTCATGGATCTCATTCGTATACTATGAGTTATAATGCCAAAGGATTTCGAAGGCTTTTGGGATGTATATGGACTTATAATTATAAAGACAAAGTCATGAAAGTCACATTCATTTACGAAGTCAAAGTCCCATTCATTTCGTGCAATATTATGTTACTAACAAGACAAATGTCTTCCATGATCACGTATTGTTAACTGATGCATTATATTTTGAAATATAAATGAATAAATTGTTAAATATATCAATGTAAAACTTGAATTTAGTTGAGATAATATACAAGGGGAAAGAACAAGTGGTATTTTTGTCTTTCAAAACAGCCGAATTCGCAGCCAAAAGTATTTTATTTCTCGGGATATCGCTATTTTTCAAATGATCTTGCTTGAATAAAAAAAAATAAAAAAATCATTAAATTTATCATCAATTTTCAACCTATTGTAATTGAGAAAAAATTGAGAAAATTTTGAGGTATTGGAAATGAAGTCAAGATACGTTTCCATCAATATTATACATGATCTCGTCGCGGGGTAAGTAAATAGAAATTCAAACGTAAAGAGGCTTTAACACGTAGTTCAATGGGGGAGCTAAGGTTGCCAAACTTATGGAAGGGAGTGTAAATTTATCTTCTTATGGGTAATATACAACTATTGAAATGCTTCCACGACAATTTTTCAAAAGGACGATTCTCGGTTTGGAGAACAGGCTCCTGGGCTAATAACTTTTTTCATGAAAAATATAGAAATATTACCCAAATTAAACTATGAATTTTCAAAAGAGGACATTTAAATCTACAAGATGTAAAAATAACAAATTGGTCTGAAGCAGGGATAACGCTCAATTAGACCGATTCAATAAAATACAAGTCTCGATTTAGGGAAAATAGTTCATCAGTGTACTGCGCTAATATTTTTTTGCGAAAAATCTAGAAATATTACCCAAATTAAATTATGACTATTCAAAAGAAGACATTCAAATCTATATTATGTAAAAAAATCAAATGTGTCCGAAGCAGGGATAATGCTCATTTAGATTGATGAACTTCGTTCTCCAAACCGAGAATCGTCCTTTGTTTGAAAATCATTTTCAATTACCCAGATGCGTGTAGGTAGTTACCATTTTCACCACCAGGTGGCCAATTCGGGGTAGATAACATGCATGGCAGAGCACTAGAGAGTATTAGAAAGTTCCCTTAAACTTGTATTTTCATAGGAAATTTCAAAGTTGATACACACTTTTAAAAGCCACCTTTTAGGTATCTTACATGTAGATTTAAAATATTATATCACTTTGACTGAATTTTTAATGATGTAAATCAAGATTATTTCTATTCGCATCTAGTCTATTAACCACGGATTATCATGTTTTGTTTCTGATCTCAATTACAATGGGTCGAGAGTTTATGAATTTGTTAGAATTGCCATAAACAGCCGTTAACATCGGTTCATATGTTCGATTCTTGTCAAAAAGTGATTGTGGAAGTATAGAAACAAATATATTCTGTGTTGAGGAGCCATAAATTCCTGCTTGTTAATCCAGTTTACATGTATCAAAGAGGTCTTATATTTGTCTCAATAAAAGGTGTCACTTCTTGACTGAACCTATTTATTGAACTGTTTTACAATCAAGTACAACAAGGGATTGCCATTAAACATGGGGATATGAATCACTTACAATCTTTAAATGCAGTAAATCGAAGATATGAAGTGCCACAAGTATCTGGCTCAAGTGTCCATGTGACCAAAACCTAGCCAAAACCCAGGGAGTTAAATCAACATGATCAGTTAATACTATCATTCTTTCGTTTTAGCCAGAATTTCATTAGTTTTTAATAATTATTAAGTATTGAGGATTACAAATAATAAATATGACTGAAAGCTTCAGAGAGGAGTTTAGGGTTGCAAAGTTCGGACTGCAGTACCCATTTAGGAAACCGTTTGATTCGGCACAGGTAATGTATATTAATGTAATAGAATGGCAGATGATAAATATGTCATTCAAAGGGACCTCAACATTTCAACTTATCAAATTGATTTAGAACTTGGTATCTTTGACAAAAAATCGTATTTATATAAAATGGTAGGAATGGCAGTCCTATAGAGACCATAAACACTAGGATTCACAATCCATAGGATATCTAAATCTTGGAAGCACAAGACCATGCTTTGGCATCCTCCGAACACAGGCCTCCAGAACTCGTACCTCGAAGGAAGGAACGTAATGCATGAATGATGATTGGAGCCCTGCGTTCGGGGGATGTGCTTCCGGGGGACTACAATTACTTTTACACCGGCAGTGTAAGGTTGTCACTCACTTTATTTGACTCGAATATTGTGCAATACTTTGAGTTTAGTATCATAACGGTCGGTATTATTTTTCGAAGACCATTTGAACACCAAATTCATAGTCCCCTTATTTCTAGTACAACTGCTGATTAACAATTTGATATCACTCTTCATACCGCCCATGGGTGCCTAGCTGAAAGGCCTACACTCGCCGGAACGGGAGTTCGTTTATATGTCTTGATAAAATGTAAAAATCCTTACTAGGTTTGTTAATAAACATAATGAGCGCACAGGAAGGATACAAGGTCATCATCACACGAGAACAATGATTTATACACCATTCAGAAGTCACCACTCATCTTAACATTATCCAAACGTCCAACTCCGAATCCCCTTCGTCTTACCACTGTACTTTAATTATGATTTTACAATCCTGATGCTAGTAAGATCTCAATGAATTCAAATGTATTTTTCATAGCATTTTTATGTGAGTTTGAATGTGTTGTCATTGTTAGGTGTACTATGATACTATGTTTACTTTATTTTCAGTGGAGATGGCCACCCGTGATCTTTACCATCTACCGTATTGTCTTGCCTCTCTACGTGGCCAGTTGGTACATCACTCTCATGGTTATCACAAAGGGCAGATCTGGCATTCACTCCAGTTACGCATACCTAACCATATGGAGTTATACAATACTCCTGATCCACCTTATATGGGCATTTGGAGTTAATCTAGTCTCGATTTGGATAAAGAGACATCGAAGCAACAGTAGTATGTCTTTACACATAGACACGAAAGATGGCGCTGATAACTACGCCTTCCAATATGACGCAACAGCAGAGACATCTAGTGGTTGCCAAAATACCGAAAGTGTGACAAAGAGTAACACATGGTACATGAAGGTATCATGGGTTCTGTTCTCTAACAGTTCAGTAGCAGCAATAATAGTCACTGCCATATATTTTTCAGCACTGTACTCCCTAACAGGCCAAACCCACCTCGATCCATTTGACTTTAACTTACATGGAGTTAACTCTATAATCATGATCCTAGAACACTGTATAGCAGGCTATCCGATCAGGCTCCTGCATTTGATCTATCCTCTTATATACGGTGCCATCTATATTATCTTCAGCGCCATCTATTGGTCGTTTGATCACAAGAACAATGTCCTATACCCTGGTGTGCTGGACTGGAATCACCCTGGTAGCACTATGCTTGTACTATGTATCTTAGTTTTTCTAGTGGTTCCCATATTACAACTTATTTTCTATGGTATACACAGACTGAAACTATGGCTACATTTAAAAATTCACTCAAGGCCATACTTTTGAGCATCAACATGATCCACATATTGTCAATAACATAGTGAATAAATACTAGTGGAAAATGATTCCAAAAAAGAATTTTTTTGTTATTCATAATAACACCATTGACACACAGTTGTATTGATTTTTTGTATGCTAGTTTTTATAGAACCCATTCCAGTAGTTTATTTTGATATGTGTAGAGAAGCAGGCAACTTGTGTCAGTTTGCACGAGCTTGATAGAACAAATGCCATCGATGTTCCTTGAGACAATGTGATGATCAGCTCACGTGAATTAAATGGATTGAATAGGAGTGACGACAATGATGAACCCATGAATTGTATTAAAGTTGTATGTGCAATGGGATAGTGCTACCGCACGATAGAGGGGGGGGGGGGGTGTTGTCGGATTATTTGTTTCTCCTTTTATCAATACCAATTTTCAGCAGCTTTTTTGCCCGTTGGCTTTGAATTTATGGATGATACATACTTTTGCTTTGAGGTATGCTGTGCTCGTGAAAAGTGGGGTACTAGTATATACATACACAGTTGTACAGAATATTGAGGCATAGGTACCCTGCGTACAGAGTCTTGTTATAAACTACGACGAAGCTCACTTTTGAGAAGCAAAGTCGAACGAATGCAAAGGGTAAATCATAGGCTCCAGTCAATGATATCGCGGTTATCTCAGATCGCTTAACTACAAACAATAGATTAACTACCTTCTTTTTTTATTGTCTAGGATATATGATAAACCATTACACAATAATCATCTTTCTTTAACAATTTGATTATGCAACATTAATTGCCAGACCCTTTCTCTCTTGATATGGTAGCTATAATCATATAGTTTTCATATTTAGCAAAACATGGGAAAATGTTTTAATATGGTCAATATTGATCATTTAAAAAACTAGTGCTTATTTCCAGTGAGCTGCCATCTTTTAAGATTTCTTGCAGGAAGTGATGTCATCAACTCTCAACTTCTATAACCTTGCCCATAACAGTATAGGAAAGTAGCAAAAATATTTTCAGGGCTTGTCAACTTAGAATAAAAGAAGAGATTTTCAGAAGGATTAAATAAGATACAAAGTTAAAAAAGAATATTTAGCTGGTTTTGTAATTCTTAATAGCTCCTCACCTAATGCTGTATGCAAAGTTGAGAGTCGATGGCATCACTTCCTGTGTGAAATTTTAAAAGATGGCAGCTTACTGGAATTGAGCATCACATTTCTAGTGATTAAATTTGACCATATCAAAACATTTTTGCGTGTTTTGCTAAACATGGCAAGCATATATATGGTTATAGCTACCATATGAGGAGAGAGATGGTTTGGCAAGGAATATTCCTATTAACTGTTTATTTTTAAAAGTGCATCAATGAGAATGCGCAGAAACTGTCCCTCACCTTCACATTCTTAGTTTCTCAAGTAATCCTTCGATTACATTTTTAACTTTGAAAGAGTGTTCAAGCGGTCAATAACGATACATGGGATTTCTGTCTTGTCTGTTGTAAATGTTAGTATTCAAGATCTGTTCTCTATTTTCATAAATGAAGTCTTTTGCTATCCTTCGCCTCATTTTGTTTTTCGGAGGCACAGGGTTGTCATCATTGGCGCCATAATCCGGAAGGGGTTCTTCTCCGTTTTCTATGTGCTTTTGAACCCTCCTGAATCTCCTAGCAAAAGCAGCATCAAGGGTTCCGAACGATGGACGTCTTGTTTGAGCTGGATCCAAGCGTGTTGCATTACTGTCAACACCCTTTGGCTTTTGTAACGGATTAGGCTGTTTCGGTACACTTTGTATATCATCTGCAATGGAAGTCAGCGTACTGTATTTACTACTGTCTTCAGATTTGAGTGCGCTTAAATCTTTTGCAGTCTGTAGAGCCTTTTTGATCCGTTCCCTGTTCTCATTTTCATGTTTTTGTTTCGATCCAAAACATGCTAGGTACGTGGTTGCTATTACATGCATGAACGTTTCCATCCTGTGGGCCAGCATGCCAACAAACTGCACTCCAAGAACAATGCCGAAAAATAGTAAGAAAACCATCGCCATTGGTTGAATAGATAGCTCAATCGTTTCACCAGTCTCTGGATGCAAATGAAATGGACACACATCTATTTGAAAAGCAAGCGCCCTCTCTCTTTGAAGTTGAAGACTTTGTACGACGGTTATGTAAATGACGTTCATCACCACGAATCCAAACACAACTTTGTTACGCAAATCTTTCAATCCCATTGCTACCTTCTCTTGGTGAACCTTGTCATTCTCTAGTGGTTTTAAATAGCGCTCAATCAACTGCTCGCTGAATAACTTGTCACTCTTAGAAATTCGGATAATCTTTCCATCTCCAAGAGCCGGGTCACGAATCCATGAAGATCTCTGTTTCGTCCTTACTTCAGGTATATTTGATGTTAGATCTAAACGAATAAGACAATGGTACAGGCAATTGAGAAAGACCACTTTATGTTCTACTTTGTGAAGTCTCAAACAACATTAATCGTTATGTGTAGTTATTAGAGAACGTTGAACTGTACTATCCGATGAAAATCTAATTGATAAATCTTACCAGGTAAATTGTTAGACAACTTGCTTTTTTCAGGAGCAACGTCCAGGAGATCATCAATGTTTGTCTCGTCTTGAGACGCACCTTGGTTGTTGATTGGGTAACTTGGTTGTACCACGACCGGTGAGACGGGCACTGGTTGTGCATTGCCAGGCAGACACCTAAATATACCACAGCAATTAATTCCCTCTTGTGTCACCGCAGGAACCACTGCTGCTATACCGCCACTAACGCCCTTCTGTTTCGCTTCATGTGCTTCTTTCTTGGCATCTAGCAGTTCTTGTTCTGTTTTCGTTTTCTTCACTTCTCTTGTACCCCACGAAACGTTGTTGAGATTACAAACAGAGAATATCGTCAGAAGCATGAATGTACTCGGCACCGCCAAGTAGTACAACAAACCGTGTGCAAGACACGATATCTCTTGGGGATGAAGAATCCCAGTTAGAAGAAACATTCCAACCAACACAACGGTGAAGAGTGAGCTGGGATCACAGAGATACTTTTCCCGAAAGTTGACGATTACACTAACCATTACGAGAATCATCACCAAGGCGTACAAAGTAGACAACACCCCGGCAACAAACAACTGAAACAAAAATATCAAAATGATAAACACACCTGCTGAAGTTGTTTAATGGGTGACGCATATCGTTTAGCAAATCGAACGCTCGTTTCTGGTGTTGCTCACCGTTTAGTATAAAAGGCCCGATCCCGGAATAATACTCAAGGGTTCACAGGTTCGAGGTCGTTGTGTCAACACCTCTAACTGTTATATAGCATAAGTATATTATAGATCGTCACACATTTATAAAAGGGTGATTTTTATTTTGACAGATCAATTCCACATTTATGGGTGAAGTTTCAGGATCTTCTATTTGTGTATAATAAGGAAAAATTGGCATCTAAATTTCCCCATGACGTAATAGCACACAGCTTGGCATATGAAATATCCTACAAATGAAACAAAGCAAGACAAACCGGTTTCTAATACAAGAATTTATATTGGCTGTTGTTCATGTATTACTAGTATTTGAACGCAATCACTCTTTGGATAACGTTTTCAAAATCATTATAAACGGATTACGTTATCTCAAAGACAATTTCAATAAATTGGATTTTACAGAACTCCCCTTATTTCTTAAAAATGGACTGATCCAGTTGATTCGCCTGGAGCCGCCATATTGTTTTTATACGGGATGCTAATCGGAACCCTTAAGTTCGTTAGATCTCAGCATTTCTGTGGAGTAATATCCTATTTGGCTCTATTATTGTTATTACCTGTGTATCAGTTTTAGCTTTTAGTCCTACAACAACAAACATGATGATCAAAACGAGGTTGACAGTAAATGCTATCCACAGCCCATTGTCGCCCATTTGGAGAAGATTTTCAAGTGATCCAACAATGACCAAGAAAACAGTCGCTGGTCCAATGATTGATGATACAAACAGAGCAGTTTGGTATGCGATATACAGCCAGGAAATGTTTTCGTTCGTCTTTGTGGTCTGATTTGCAGATATAATCAAATCGAGGATGTTTGCCATTGTACTTGGCGTCCATCTGCGTCTCTGGTTGAAGAATTCGTTGAAACCTTCTGGTGCAAACGTGAACGCATCAGACGCTGCGGAATATTCCACTCTGTACCCTTGTTGGAGTAGAAGTGTACACAACCATCTGTCTTCACCTGTAAACAATACTCTTCATCATACATAATGACTTTGATTATGCGAATATCTACGTGAGCACATGTGCCAAAATTGCCAAAACCAAAGATACAAGAGGCACCAGTTGGAAACAACTGGTTGAGTTATTTAGATCAAATTATTGAATTAAAGAATAGGTATCGGTGTACCTTGGTCGTATTGTACATAGTGAACTGGGTCTGTGGATACTGTTGTGTATCTCTTAACGATATTATCATCCATAAGCGCTGCACCTCTGAACAAGCTGAAGCAACCGGGACTACATAATACACAGCCTAGAATGTGCTCTGTTGACTTCTGGAACCAATGTCCAACCGCATATTCAAATTTTTGGTACCAAACCATCGGACCTACGAGGTAAGATCATGAAACAAATACAGAGTGGCCCTGTTTTTGGTGGCGTATTTTAGGGTCAACATGTCCTGTACTTGACAAGGCTAGCTGGCTAAATCATATTATAACTCAATGGTATTTTAAATGATGTCTAATGAGAGTACTACACGTTCTGAAACTAACGATAATGAAAAAGTAAAGAGGGAAATATCTGAAAAGTAAACATACCCGCTCCTATTGGGTGAATCCTCCCACATGCTGCACCAACTTTTTCATTCCGTTTCATCAAGTCCACGAGGAGTAGGACTGACAATGGCTGAAAGTCAACATCACCATCTAGAGCAAGGAGGAATGTATTCTCTGCTACATTTTGCTTCTTTATTCCACTCTTCACTTTAGTCCACAGTTTGTGCCCAAGAAACATGTACATGTACATCACCTAAATGAAATAATGAAACAGATATGGACTTTGTTATTAATAGTAATAATATATCCATATATCCAGGTAGGAAATTTACTGACAAATTCTAGTTGATCACAATGTTTCGTGAGAAGCGCGTCCCTCCACGATACAGTACCGTCCTATATAACAACATGGCAAGTGCCTTTGCCTCACACCAGACCAAACATATTAGGGTTTCTTTTCATTCGGATAATCACTGTATACTGACCTGACTCCAACGCTTCTTGTGTCGTATTTTCAGTTTGTCCTTGAGGTGGGCAATGAGCTTGTTTCCTCCCGGTAAATGCCATTCTAGCATTCCTCCATACGGTGTTTCACACTTGACGGGGGCAGCTATTTTACATTTCATACGATGCACAGCACTGAAAAGTGAAGAAGTTTCAAGACAGCAAGTGCAAAACCAATATACAAAAACAAACACTATTTAAACAGTTAGAATGAATAAGTATCACTTTGAAAAGGTTTGATAAAATCTAGATAAACAAAATATTAAATATACACTTTGTCTTTATATGCCTTTATGTTGGGCAAAACAATTGTAACATATGTCTTACCTAGCAGACATGTCTATTGTCGCCACAAGAAGTTTCACGAACTCATTCGCTTCATAATCAGTATCGCCATCTATGTGGAAATCAAATGCATCGTCAAAGAAGATATGGGTTTCAAAGTTGTAAAAGTCTGGGTCTACAATACCGAAGTATGCCTGGGCATTCTTTCGAGCATTCTGATCAATGTCCATCCTAAAATAATAGAGATCATGCCATAAAGAAACAACACACTTAGATTGAACTAAAAATGTTAAAATAAAAAAATGATTCTTATGACTTATTCTACTTTAACATGAATAGTTTTATAATACTTGAATAACTGCAACAAATCATCAACTGTTTTATGAAGCATAGTGAATGATTTTGTCAACGTTCTCCCTTGTGTAAATTGAGTTTCTCGTATTTACTTGAATATAGAGTTGAGCAAATGTATCATTTCTTGCTCGTTCTCATGCCACATAGTTGCACAGAAGTATATCATAGGCGTTGCGTCCTCCTTTGCTTTTATGGTATCGTATGTCATTCTTGTCTCCTCCTCATCTCCGACGGCATCGTCTACTTCCTGGCCAACGGCTTCTAGTATCACCTCCAATGCCTGCAATTTTTCATTTTTGGTTTGTAAGGGACGCTTGGATTTGACCGAGCGTTGCATATTTTGAAAGAGCATATTCCTTTATGATTCAGTTACTAGTATTAGTAAACCTGCTACGATATACAAATATTGTCAATTTGTATTTTGTCATTGTTTAGTTACGCTGAGGCTGATTCGAGAGTTTTATTATATCTTGAAAAAGCATATTTCCTATTTTCACTTTGTATTTTATCATTGTTAAGTTAAGGACACCAATACATAATTTGTTAATGCAACATCGGTGTGTCATATGTAAACAGATACCTTTTTCTCTTGTTGGTCAGAAATTATGTGATCATCCTTCCTTCTGTTGAATGACAGGGATTGTTCAATCATCACCCCACAGAACAATGGCAGCGCAAACAATCTAAGAGAAAATCCATTTATTGAGATACTCAGACACAATTACAGCACATGAATCAACTATTCCCGGTTTATAGAACATATATGAAGCACAAACACTCGAAAACTACTTAGATAAAACATTGAAAGCACAAAGTGAACATTGAAAGACAAAATATACAAGCCCTGTTAAGAATATGAAAATATATATACTTCTCAGTCTTGGCCAATCTTTGGGTAGCAGGATACCAAACATGACGGGTGACCCATAGTTGACCTAACCAACATATTATAGCCAAGGGTATGAATAGATATGTCGTTGGTTCATCAAAGGACCAAGATGTGCACTGCCAGAACACATGATTTGGTAAAACACCTGCCAACGCTGCTCTTTGATTTGGTTCGCACCCCAATACCATTATACATATCGTCAATGGAGTACTTAGTAATAGAGGGAGGGCAACAGCAATGTCCTGGATAAGAGTCTTTGCACCAAATTTTGCAAATATGTAGGAAAATGATGAGGATAGAAATTGTATTGTCCAAATAACTGCCCAGATCCATATTATATCAGGAATATCATTTGATCCAACTTCCTCTCCCCCGTTGGCAATACCCGGACATTTGTTCTCGTGATTTGGAAAGAAGAACCACTCGTTAAACCCAAGACCTGCACTGTCTCTCATATCGAAGTTCATTGTGACCATCATGCCACAAATCGTTAACAGTATTTTCCAAATGCTTACTACAGCGTATAACTTGCTCCTTGATCGCCTGGCATTTTTCTTCACAGACACCAGCAGTTCACCCAATTTACCCATATATGTATATCTCACATGGACAAATGTCTCCCACCAGCCACACGATATCAATAGTAAGGACAATGGAATTGTCCACACGTGTGTAAGAGTCGTCGTCTTGTAGAAAATCAATACAGGCCAGGCAATGATCCCTACCACATGGATAAACGTCGCTGTTATGTTGAGTCCACGTTTGGCCATTGCCGCCCTTTGTACAAGTGGCCTATAGAACAATGACAACGCTGAAGGAATTGTTCCAACACTCGTTAACATGGCTATTGCGCTGACCGAATCCAACTTCCGTATAATATAGAAGACAAGAAGTACTATCCCAATCGAGTGTAGCGTTTCCACTAACATAACCTGTATAGACAAGCGTGTGATATTGTACACAAATGCTTTTAATTCAAAGATAGGGTCGAGAGATGGGTAACGCAAGTGACGAACATAAAATCGTCTATATGGGTAAACTAAAAGCTAAAAACAATTTGAAAGTAAAACAATAAATAAATGCACAACTTTAGTTTTTAACTATACTATTGACTCACCACAACAAAAGTGATGGCACTTGGACCTTGTTTTGTTTTAAAACACATACGCCATAGAGACCGCCAGAGGACCAGTATATATGGTATACATACGGTCATAACAAGCCCCCATACCCAATACATGGTCATAGTGTCACATTGTCGAACTACCCCAGACACCAGATTACTCTCAGTGTAGACAACCTGCAAAGACAGAATGCGGAAACTACATTGCTGAAAAGGATTTGTCATCCATCATCAAGGGTCAGATCATGCAAATACAATGCCAGACTATATTGTCAGGGAGCTCTATTCACTTTGACACCAGACATTCTAAGGTGTTTTGCAAATATTAAGTTTTTTTGTCAATGTCAGTTGGCTTTTTGTTTTCTCTATATCTAGTTCAACAATTGCTGTGTGTTGACTCACATCTGTTGCCATTGGTGTCGTATCGTTGCTTGTTGTGTTACTCGGTATTGAAGTAGGCATTGTTGCCTCTATAACTTGTTTGTTAATCAAGAGAAACCTCTTGGATCCAACAGAGGTGTCATCTAAAGCGACATGACATTCATGCAACGATGTATTCGAGCAATCTAGCTTAATGCCAAATCTGCTATTTGCAGCCAATACCACCAGCGTGAACTTGCTGAGGAAAGTAGTTCCAAGGACCATGATGAAAACAAATATGTAGGAAATGATCTTAGCTGCTTTCTTCATAGACTCCAGGCATTGTTGGTCATCATCCGCGTCACTTACTGGCATCAGGCGAAATGCATCCCACTTGTAAGACTGAGTTGGCCTTAGTAAAACAAAATGTGAATACATATTATCACCCTGTACATAACTATCATATCTTGACTATAAATAATCATAATCATCACAATCAGAAACGTTTCCAATTTTAACAAGGTTCTTTGCTCTGGTATACCTTACCTGGAAATGCCAGAGAAATTATTTATTTTTATCAGGAATTTTGAAAATCTGGATAAGGGTAATGTTTTTGATAATTTGATTATGATTTGTCGGATTTAGTCTAAATATTGGCTCTTGTCTTCTATAGAAAGGACCTCTGTTCAAGAACAAATCTCCAATATAACTGCTAAAATGGCCACTACCTTTTATAGAACATATGTTTTTGTCAGCCCAAATACTAGTTGAAGATTTGATTCAGGTACAGATGCTGATTTAAGCATTGATGCAATCACTTACTTTTGCTTTTCTTTACCATCTATGATCTCAACATCAATTTCACTTTGATTTGTCTTCTCCTGAGCTCCAGTGGTGGATTTCTCTCCCTCTACGTAAGATGACACAGTATCCGAAGTTTCGAATACAGATCCACTAGTTGTTGAATCTGACGATCGATTCGAGCGAGATCGAAATGAGCTAGGTGTGTTGGAGATCGTTGGACTGAGAAATTTAGAATTTGGGTATTCGTTTTGTTGAACTGGACCAATCGGATCTTTCATAAAGGGAGGTTGCATGTTTTGTTCATCACGTACACTTGGGCGATCGTATGGGCCGTGTCGTTGAGGACTATCATCAAATGATCTGTAGCGCTTATCTTTCTGATTGGCAATGCCATATCCTTCTTTGGCAAAGCCATTTGTCTGAGTTTGATTTTCGCCAATATATGATGGAGTATTCCGTCGGGGATATCCTTTTGGGTCATTTGAATAACGGCTATCTGGATTGTAATCACGCCGAATATATGGTGGCCTTGAAGATATTTTATTATAATTTCTATCGTCGCTATAATTTCTAATTCTTTGCTGAGCCATTTTCAGTGATAGAGTGTTACAAGTTGAATTTTAATTTCAAACTACCGTGTATTACATGAATTTATGTTATTCCATTTCAGCTTTAGCCTTTTCCTCATTTTCATCGATTCCACTGTGCTGTGCATATGTGTTTCATATCCAAATGTGATGTAGGGACGAATGACGGCATTGCGTTATACCAAAGTAGAATAGCAGAGATGTGTCACCATTGGTCCCAAAAATAAATCAATCCCTTCCTGTTAAATCAGCTGACTATTATGTATTCTGTGATATTGGGGCGAACCATATACACTGCTGATCTTAGAAACTTTATTTGGGAATAAACTAAAAAAAAACTGACCAATAGTTGCAAGATGCAATTTTACACAATGTATTACACGGTAAAAATAGGAAATGACATATGTATATAGAATCACACACGAGAAGCACCAAAAGAAAAACATTCAAAATAGAAAATAATCAGTGGGCAAATACAATCTTTAGTAAGCCACAAACGTTGAACACAAGATATATACAAACGTATCGAAATTGGATGATAAAAATACAACCAACAAAAATACAAATTAAATGTATAATGAATATTTTCAGCGACGCATAGAGCAAAAGATCTCTCCCTATCATGTGCCACAATGCGTGGTATTAGTCTCAGCTTCTGCTAAATCATCACTGGTACATAATGTCACAACGTTTACCACCCATCATTCTCATGATTTAAAAAAAAGCTTTGTCAACAAAACACAGAACTACCTAATATCTTAATCAATTGTGATCCAATCCTGTCATGACAAGTTAAAGTATTTAATGGATCGAACAAACACCTAGCTGCTCCAAAATAGAAATAAAATTAAGTATCTGAATTAAGAAATCCAAACCGACGTATGTCATTTTGCGAACTGACAAACATGGTTTGACCCAGAATATGTACTTTAAAACTAAAACTAAGACGATAGTATATTTAAAGTAGCCGCTAAGTATAATTTTTCTCATCATGTAAATTGTAATGGGTACTTGAAAAATTAATGCTGTCGTTTAAATAACATGGGCGTAGTGTGAAATACCATAAAGATCTCAACTTTACGGTATTGAAAATTGAAGTTATATGTTTCATAGAAAACGTCTAAGAAAACCATTGTTCACATCATGCAATGAGACAAGGATTCTTATATTCAGTTGTAACATCAATAAACAATTGAAAACAAAATTACAGAATCAATTTTGTTTATAATTAATCACATACATAATTTCGATTTATTATCTTAATATTAAGGACAAACCTATATCATCTTATCCACCATTTCTTACACGAACCAGTGTTTCAAAAAACACCTAACATATACCAGTTTCATATCTGTTATCAGATTGAACTGTGTTTACTTTACAATAAAAATAGAAAACGACTCAGGTCACATCGCATAATGGTAACTATTTTTAAACGGCTTATATTTAGTCAATATTACTTTATTTTCTCCATAAACAGTCATCAAAGTTTGGGACAAAAACTTATGTGGGGGATTCTTATGCTGTTTTTCACCCGTCTTGTAATGGGCCAAGTACATTAAATGATCAAAACATATTAAGGTCGTGGTCAAGAACTTGGTCATTGAAATACATGGCATCTAAAGTGTTCAATCGTGTTACATTTCGCCATAATTGTCAAAACGCGACTATTTTGACAGCTAGAAACGATCCCTCAAAATTAACTCAAACTGCTAGATTCACCTTCTATGATTCAAGGGATAAACAATTAATACCTCTGAAAAGATCCCTTCCCCACCAAGGGGCGGATCTGGAAGAAAAATATTTTGGGCCTCTCAAAACCCAAAAATGGGCCCAAATTTTGAAATTTAGAGGCCCATTTTCTTCAAAATTTGGCCTGAAATTAAAAAGTGAGGCCTTAAAAGGCCCAGTAATGACCAAAAAGGCCCAGTAATGACCAAAAAGGCCCACTTTTTGGGGCCTTGAGAACTTTTTTCGCCCAATTTTTTACTGCACCCGGGCCCCCAGCCCCCAGATCCGCCAGTGCCACCCCTTCCCAAAAATTGTTTTTCGTATGAAACTATATTAATACTGTCTTTACCCATTATGGTTAAAGACAATTGGAGTTATTTTTTGTAATACTTGAAATAAACCTAAACCTCAATTCAATAACATAGTACACAATGTAACCTAGGATATACATATTTTTATTCTTGGATAAATAAATAGAAACATTAATATGTTTACAACCTGTACACATCT